GTTTCGGTTCAATAGTTGCATTGTCCGAACTACATTTATATCTCGATTGAATGAAGACTCTGGCAGTTGCACCGATAATGACCGTAAAAATATAGGAACGTTTCAAATACCGGTCGTCTACTGTTTTGTATTTAATGCTTGAGAAACCTCCACCCCCAAAAAGTCAGTACCAATTTTCTTCCACAGAAGTTCGAAAACAACGTTAATTTTCTTGATTCGCTACCAACGTTAAACAAAAAACTCTATGGTCAGTATTTTTTTTTGTCTTATTAGAAGGCATTTTAGATTTTAGAATCTCTCGGTTGAGAACTGAAGAAGTTTCATATTTCAGTTTTTTGACACTTTTCATGACTGGTAATGCATGACTCTGACTTGTACAATCGGGTTGTGTTTGGGCAGTCACCCCAAAGAATTAATAAAATCACTGCCTTATCTTTAATTTAGGCATTTCAGAGTGTGCTATTTCATTAAGGCAGAGAAGCTTGAAATAAGAAAGCCCAAACTGATTGACAGAGTTAATACATGCTAAAATATATGCTTTTGATTTTGAATATTTGTTCAATCAAGCCACAGCCTTGTTTGTGGGACGATTATGTATAATCGCATAATTTAATGAGTTTTTTAAAAAACTTAAGTATAAGATGTTGCTTCCCTGTAGCGTCAATGAACTGATTGACTTAGACACCAGATAAACGCAGTTTGCGCAAAGCGAGAGTGTTCCAATGCAATGAAATACTGAAATAACTTTTGTGATATTTGCCTTGTGCTCTTAGAGAATGCGAACAGCCTTCTTTCACAGTAACAGTAAAATAGCTCAGTTTAAAGATCTCCCTAACTTGTGAGAGTTGTTCCCGGCCAGTTTTCTTTTTCTCTCATGTTCTCGGGATAGTTCTGCACAAGCCAATTATTTAAGAAAGTCGTTTAAAAGAAAAATATGAGTATAACACACCTGTTTATGTGCAAAGTGAAGCACCTAATTTACCGCAAATATGGAATTCCCTCTCGCCACAAGGGAAACTGAGCCAGGCGGCAAACGGACGTATTGTCGAATTGTCTAGAATTGTCCTGCAGAGGCGACTCAATTTAACTCATCCAAAGTTTCCTTTACTAACATCATAGAAATCAGAGATTAGTATTATCATTTATGATCAAGAGTATGGTTCCCTTGATTATTGCAGTTAAAGCTGACTCGTGAGCGGACACCCTTGGGAGACTGGCGAAAAAGGTGTCTCGGTAACTAGAGCTGACCGCTTACGGGACCGTAAAAATACAGAGTTTGTATGCGGGAGTTGAGAAAAACGGAGTTTTGTGAAGGTGGCCGTAAGAACAGCTGTCCGCTTACGAGAGCGTCCGATAGGAGAGGTTTCAATTAGTTGCAGCCATGCAATAAATATTCTCTCGTTGTTTTGTCTTAGAGGTGACCTACACTTTCTTTTTTACTCA